GCCTAAATTTTTTAGAAATATAAACGGGTATATATTGTCGGGTCCAGGACAAGTGTTCTTACAATTCTGAAATACATTTTCTAATTCTTCCTCTGTTAATTGATTTATGGGGTTTGGAATTAGACCTTTTGTTGATTTTTTTCCATATAGTTGATATAGTTGTGTAGTAGTATGCTATGTATTGTGGTGACATATTCTCTCCAAGAGTCACGTTTGGCTTTTTTAATAGTATACCTAGCGACTGCTCTTAATTTTTTGAATTCTATTGAATTTTCTTGAGTTTTGTGTCGTTTGAATTTATTAAAAGCTTGTTTCGATTGCTTTAATGCTTCTCTGCAGTCATGATTCCACCAAGGTACTGACTGATGTTTGTGATCGTACTTAATTATTCCAACGTACTTTTTTGCTGATTCTATGATTACGTTACATAGATCTATACTAGAGCCTTCACCTGTTCTTATGTCAAAGCGTGTATGGTGTCCGTCCTTAAGGATATTTTGGTTGGCTTCTTTTATTGTTTTCTATTTTTCGACCTAGAGATGTTAGTTTTGCTGAACCCCATAACGGATTATGTGCATTAAAATCCCCAATTTTTATCCGTGGAGCAGGTAGTTGATTGAATAGGTTAGACATTTCTTTTGAATCGGGTTCTTTATTGGGGGCAATGTAAATATTGCTTCGATAGTTGTTGTGAGTTTTATTGGTTTAGCGTCAAAGCTATCTTTCTATCTTTTATGTAGATTGCTACCCCTCCACTTGCAACTTTCGAATTTTCTTGATTTCTACAGAAACAATTGAAATTCTTTAAATCATGAGCATTGTTGTTTTTAAAGTTGGTTTCTTGTACACATATCATACTAGGTTTATGTTTTGAAATTAATAATTTTAACATTTCTAAATGGGTATAATGCCCATTTATATTCCATTGAATTAGAGAGTTGAAAATGATGTGTTATTAATTTTCTGTTGAGGCGTCGCTTTTTAAGTCTGTTTGAAGGTCTAAGTTGATTTGCTGTAATATTTTATTTTTTATTAGAGTTTTTATTTGACTTTAATTTTTCGGTCCTTTAGGTAAGGGTATATATTAGTTAATAGATCTGTGACCTCTGCTGTTTCTTCTGTATAATTTTGGAGATACTTAACGGGTCTGGTGAGTTCTCACAGTTTTCACAAAAGTCTAATAACTGTTCGTTATAGGGTAGTTGGAATTTGGGTTCTCAAATAAAGTTTTACAGTATTTAAGCATTTCTTCTAGTGTTTTTTGTGGTTGGACATTTTGATCTGATTTTACCTTCTTCTCTTTGTTGTTTGGTGTAATAAAAGTAGGTTCCTCCGTAGATGTAGTAGCTGGTGGAGAGAGTTGGGAGATTTTGCGTTTGTTTTGTGCTTTGTCTGTATTTATATGCGTTGCCTTATTTTCTAGATCTATTTTTGTGTAGTTTGTTGTTTCTGAATCGTCTTTGGTTGGCTGCATGTGTGGTTTTTCTTGTCGGGTAGTTTGTGGTTGGGTTTCTTGTTGTATGCTTTCTTCTTTTAATTGTTGTTGTTTGTTGTGTGCCTGGGTTTTTTGAGTTGATAGATTAGTTGTATTTTCAATTAGGTCTACATGTGGAACTGGATTATTTGATGCTGAATTATCTGTTGTAATTGCAGTAGACATTAAGCAATTTTTTGTTAAGTGGTTGGTTTGTTTACATATTTGGCAAGCTTGGTTATCTAATGATAGGAAAATCCTGTATATCGTGTCCTTATATGCGATAAGAAAAGAATCAGGTAAGGGCTGGTTATTTAGTGGAGATAGGTATGTTTGGCGCCTAAAACTCAAAATATGCTGGAATTGTGGTGTTGATGTGCCTATTCTTAAGAATATTATAGGTGACAGAAGTGATTTTAATGCTGACATTAGGACTGAGTGTGGGATTGACGGACAGACATTGGACAATAGTAATCGCTGACTGGGGCTAATTATTCTACGAGCTTGTAAGAATTGTTGGTTTATTTGAATTTTTTCATTTATGTTTATAAAATCCTCAGCTAGTTTTTCGTTGGCTAAATAAATACAAACTCTATTATTTGATATTCTTGAACAGAAGATGACCTGGGTTGGTTATATCAGACGACTCAGAGCGGACAAGTAATCATCTAGTTTGGTATTTTCAATTGCATCAAAAATAATTGCTTCTTTTCTTGCTGGAAATGTATTGGATTGTGGTGTTTGATTTGTTACGGAAGAATATGTAGGTGATCCATTAAATTGATATGATGAGGAGCTGTTTGATGTATTATTATTTGTAGGAATTTCAGATTAAATAGAACTAACTATCCATTTTTAATTAACATTTATAACTGGAGTACGGTTCTAGCAAACAACCTTCTTAGTCTGTAGTGGAACAGGTTTGGTATACCTGTCCTAGATTTTGTAGGTTATCCGAAATAATATTTAATAATCGTGATAATAGTACTACTACTATTATTAAGGATTTCCACATTTTTCACTGTCTTTCTTCACTCAACCGTTTTCTCCAATTTTCCCTGTTATTCCAGTCTCCATCTCGCAGGGTTCTTTTCTCCATAGCCTCGTCGATTTCGTCTCTGAATGACCTTCGGGGTCTTCCTCTCTTTCTTCTTCCGATCGGGCTTCATTCTGTGATTTTGTTTATCCAGCGTCCTCTGTCCGCTCTTCTGACGTGGCCGTATTAGGATACTCTCTTCTCCTCTATATAATCGATTATGTCTGATTGCACTCCCATTCTCCGCTTAATCTCTGCGTTTTCAATTCTGTCTCTTTTTGTAAGTCTACAGCTTCTCCTCAGGAACTCCATTTCTACTGCTCTTATTCTACCTCTATTTCTCTTGTTTATTGTCCAGTTTTCGGACCCATATGTCAGGATACTTCTTGTGAGGGTATTATATATTCTCTTTTTTGTCTTTATCGTAATGTTCTTATCCCACAGCACTGAATTTAGTTGTCTTATACAGTTTCTTGTTTGTCTTAGTCTGTTGTTTATATCTTCTTCTGTTGTTTCCTGGTTCGATATTATGGTTCTTAAATACTTGAATTTATCTGTTCCATATGCTTTATTTCACCTCTGTTGTTTTTATATTCTTCTTCTAGTTTTCTGAGCATAAAGCTGGGATCTTCTTCATCTTTTGCGATGACTACTTGATCGTCGGCAAAACTTAAGGTGTATAGGTATTCGTCTCTTACTGGTATGCCCATTACTTCGCACTTTCTCCTCCATGGTTTGAGTGTCTTTTCCAAGAATATTTTAAACAGAGTAGGGGACGTAGCACAGCCTTGTAGAAGTCCTTTTGTCGTCTTAAATGGATTGTAGGCTTTATTTCCACATTTAATAGCTACTTTGTTTTCTTTGTACAATGCTTTAACTGCTTTTATTAGTGTTTGTCGGATTCCGAGATCATTTATGGCTTCCCATAATTTGACTCTAGGTATTGAGTCGTATGCTTTCCTTAGATCAACAAACGCCAGATGGACCCGTCTACCTTTTGCCATTTTCTTCTCTATCTGTTGTTCTAATGTGTACGTATGATCTAGGCATAATTTTCCTACTGTGAACCCTGCTTGGTCTTCTCCAATTTTTCCTATTATTTCAGTTTCTAGTTTTTCCTTGATAATTTTCCCGTAAAGTCTACCTACCGACGATATTATACTAATTTCTCTGTAGTTTTCACATTTTTTCCTGATAATAGTAAAAACTGATAATTAAAGTAACTTACTAGAACTTACTACTTCTATCTCTATTGTATTTATTTTTGTTATTTCACTGCTGGATCACTAATTAACGAAAATATTTTTAGTTTTTCTCTAGTTTTTAAATTAGTTTTAAGAGCTTGATTTAAAACACATATTAGGTACTATGTTCAGAGTCGAATTCCTATTATTCACTATTAACACGTTCAAAATTGATGAAATAATCGTTTAAATATTTAAATTTTTAGAAGAAACTTTGAAATGCGCCCAAACACTTTGACAGTATTATGGCAGTCCTAAGAGTAAAATTGTTTATAAATAACATTTATTTACTTTGTATTGTTTTAAATAAGTAAATAAAAAATAACAATAAAAAATCGACTTACGAACAGATTTGTACATCCTGTGTCTTTATCTCTGCTGTTTCTCATATCCTTTTTGTCCTCTCTCTGTCAGGTCGTGTTTCTGCCGCGTATGTCATTATTGGTCTGATGACTGTTCTTTGAGTGTAAATTCTGCCTTTCATTTCTTTCCCGATATTTTTATTTCTCCATATTGTTTTACTCCGGCAGCCTATGGCTCTGTTTGGTGATACCTAGATATTTAAACTCCATCACTTGTTCTATTATCTGACCTTCCAGCTCCAATTTACATCTTAGTAAATTTGTTGTTGTAATCATGCATTTTGTATTTTTTTGGGAAAATAAGATGTCAAATTTTCTGGCGGTTATAATAAATTGGTGCAGCATACGTTGTAAATCGTTTATATTATAGCTGATTATTTTACGTTGCTTTTCTCCCATTTAGTATCCCAATTTAGTTCTTACTTTTTTTATGATTTCATCCGTAATCAGGTTGAATAATAGAGGACTCAGGGAATCTCCCTGTCTTATCCCATCGCCAGCTTCAATAGGGTCGGTTAGGTTCAAAAAATCATATAAACAAATTAAATGTAATAAATATAATATATAATATATAATATTATATATATATATATATATATATATATATGTATATATATACATAATATATAATATAATATTAACAAACAACAAATTTAAAATTTGTTGTTTATTTTGCAATAACTTTTTTGTTTAGCATTTAAGTCAAAGCATGTTAAGCATTTAAGTCAAAAGGTGTAGATTTTCAGAAATTGAATAAAACTATATAAAAAAATAATTCAATATTTCTTAAAAACGTTTATTGTATTTTATGATAGTGTTAATGACATATTTACTAGTGGCTAAGTATGACTCTATAAAAAGTATGGAAAATTGTTTTTCGTGACTTATGTTAAAAAGAACACTGGCATATATGACTTAAGTCTAATAGTACAGGTATGTATTTTAATTTCTTGCAACACAATATTTTCATAATATTCTTCATACTCATTATCTAAAATATCAGGATCCATATTAGCTACATTTTCCTTACTAGGCAAATCTATATAAAATTTATGGAAAACATTTGGTATTCATGTTAGTAGAAAAATTAAGTCATATTTTTGTTTCTTTAGATATACTTTGCAAAGGCGAATGCTCCTCAGTGTGTCTAGTGCATATAGGACATTCTCTAATGAGGCTCTGTATGTCATTGGAGCGGTGATACCGATTGTTTTGTTGTGTAAAGAGCGAGGGAGGATATATACGAGGAGGATGGATGTAATAATATATATGAGAATGAAAGGGAAAGAACGATAGTAGAGTGGCAGAGAGAATGGGCGAATGATAGTGGAAAGGCAAGGTGGACGAAGGAGCTTATTCCCAGTCTGAGACCGTGGTGGGAATGTAAGTTCAGGAAACTAGACTACTTCTTGACGCAGTTTCTGACCGAACATGGTAGTTTTGGCACCGTCACAAATAGAATAGGCAAATCTGCGTCGGCAGACTATACTGTTTGTGCGGTACCGGATGCTCCCGCCCACATTTTTAACTGCCAGAGATGGGCAAATGAGATGGAAGATTTCGAGAGGCAAATGGGTTTCGGGCTAGATGAAAGAAATATTGTAAACATTATGTTGAGAGGAGAGAAAGAATGGAGAACTGTCTGATTTCTGGAGTAATGAAGAAAAAGAAACAGGAGGACAGAAGAGGAAATTCAGCCGGGGATCTAAAAAATTATAGTTAATATTATTTATTAGTTTATGGTCTAACGTCTAAACATTTTCTTATTTACGATATTAGGTATGGTTATATATAAATTTTTAGTTGTTTATTGAGTGACAAGACCACCTCTCTGGAACGGTGGTTAAGGTTTTAGCCGGAACACGGTTAATCCGGCACTACCCTGGTGTCTTCTGGCTTAGTATCCCACTTGGCCGAAGGATACCAGGGTGTCTTGTTTCGCGACGTAGAGGTCCAAAAATGATTTCCCCCACCGTTGCCTGTAAAAATCCAATGGATAACTTCTTAGGCTCTTACTGGAACCTGAAAAAAAAAAAATGATATAGGTAAAGGCAATAGTGATATAATTGGGATGTCATTAGGTATAAAGGATGCTCTCCGTCTCAAATTTATCTTGTAAAATTGTGATTCCAATTGTAAGGTTCCTTTGTAAGAAACCATTCCAAATTCCATGTCATAACGGAGCCACCTTTTGTCCAACCATTTAAACTGCTTTCCATCTACATCTTTATTTCTTAATACCAAAGTCAGTATTCTGCATTTCCACAACTTGAAGTTTGGTACTGCTGGACCTAATAAGTTGTATCTAGTTATGAGGATGATATATTTGAATTTCTGTTTTCTTTTTTGTTTTTTTTTCTATTATCTTATAATCTGTATTAACTTCTAAACGGTTATGTCCGGAAACCATAAATTTATGGTCGATTCTCTCTAACTGTAACTTATGTACAGCCCACGTAAACATAGAACTCACGTGAGAATTTTTATTCTGACCCCCACAGGTATCAGAGTAAAAAATTACTTTTCTTGTGTTATTAGGCAGGTTTGTTTGAGAGATTAGATGCAATCTGATTCGTTCTCTGGGTAGAAATATTTTCATGCCACACATAACATACTGCCTTTCTGGTCTTATTATCATGTATGGTCAAATTGAACGTCCACAATTGACGTTTATAAAAGGCTACAGAAGAAGTCAATGATGGAGTCGGTAAACAGTGTTGTAAATCAAATGTATACACTTGTATGGTACTAACATTTGATACGTCTGTTTGTCTTTTTTTTTCGATTCATAAGCTTGATCTGCTGTCAATTTATAATTATCATATTGCAAAGTTATTTCAGCTTTGGTTTGCTCATCTTGACAAAGTTGAATTTGCATTTTAAACTTATCACAAGTGTACCATATATCAACCCGGGTTTTTTTGAAACACAATCCTAATTCGTTAAATTCTTGGCTGTAAATTTTTATTGAAGGAGGCTTAATATACGTGTCACAAAATAGTTGATACATTTTGGTGATTGTTAGATGGGAGGGTAAATACTTCTTTGATGTACTCTTTCTGGTGTAGTGACTTTCATACGACGGAAAAGACAAAATATGGTTTTTTATTTCCTTTTTTTGTCATCGGATATTTTATTTTTAGGTACAGTTGTTCCATGTAAATCATTAATTTGTGTACCACCTACTGAAGACTGTTTCTTCATTGCCACAGTTTTTATAAAATTATCGCTTTCGTCAAAGGTTTTTAGTAAACATCTCCTACAAATAGCTTGACGCAAAATATGTATACCTCTTCACACGAAATTTCTGTTTTTCAGGATCTATTGCGCTTTGTCTTTGGGTAGCTTTCTCTTCAATCTCTATTAATGATGAAGTGTAAGCATTTGATTCTCGATCAAATCACAACTTGCTGGTTACTGATTTCGGTGACCTGAAAATAAAACATCAATAAAAACCAATGTAGGAACAAATATATTTTTACAAGAACTCCTCAAATTGCCCACGATTTATTCAAAAAATGTTTTACTCTTACCTTCAACAATAGCCTGAATGCCTGAAAAAGTTGAAGGTTCATTCTCGATCAAATTACTGCTTGTTGGTTGCCGATTTCCGTTACCTGAAAAATAATATATCAATGTAGAAACAAAAATATTCATACGACTATTTCACTCACCTTAAAATTTTCACATAATCTGACCAATCACAAACCAAAGACAGCTTGTGTTATCGCGAAAACACCAACTGTCTTTCAATTCTGATTGGTCTATCAGCTTCGTGTTTTCAACGACGTAACCATGGATACCGATCGCAAAGCAAAGTTTGGCGTTTGCCAAAAAAATTATTGTAGCTTCTTCTTCAAGTTCCACTCCTATCGGAGATTGGAAATCATTCTGGCAATTATAATTTTATTGGTTACTCGCCTGAATAGTTCAATTGAACTGCATCCAAACCACTCACGGAGATTGCGTAGCCACGAGATTTTACGTCTTCCTACGCTTCTTTTACCTTTGATTTTACCCTGCATTATGTTCCTTAGTAGTTCGTACTTTTCACCTCTCATGATGTGCCCCAAGTATTCCAATTTCCTGATCTTTATGGAATTTAAAACTTCGCATTGTTTTCCTAGTTGTTCGAGAACTTGTTCGTTTGTTTTGCGATCCATCCATGATATTTTCAAAATGCGTCGGTAACACCACATTTCGAATGCTTCTAGGTTTTTAATGTTGGATTTTTTAAGTGTCCAAGCTTCAACTCCATACAAGAGGGTAGAGAAAATATAACATCGAAGCATTCTTATCCGGAGCGATATATTGATATCGCGATTACAAAAAAGTTTTCTCATTCTATTAAAAGTTGACCGCGCAATTTCAATGCGCGGTCAACTTTTTGTAGCTGTATTGTATTGTAGCTGTATACGTCAAAATAAGTCATTTCGGTGGTACTTCAAACGAGGTTATAAACCAAAACATTGAAAAAAATATACCGAGTGACACAACAATATCTAAATCTTATATATGGAGACAATTTATGATGTTCTGTGTGGATCGCAACTACAAATTAGATGCAGAAAATAACAACGAAAGACTAACATTCATTCTACTGAATTTTTGACATCACATTGTTCATGAAATAGTCTAATAAAATACGACCCGTGATTTAATTTAGCTTGTAAGTCTGTCTTTTATTTCTAAACTCAACTGAGTTTCTAAAAGAAAACACCACTCTTCCTACGGACTCGTGGTGTTTTCAAGCAACTCAGTTTCGATTAGAAGTAAATCTACAGACTTATCGCGAAAATTTAATCACTAGTGGTATAACTATTGAAAACTCTTAAAATTGCCTACAATTTATTTAAAAAATGTTTAACACTTACCTTTGACAATAGCTTTTTGATTTAACACCAAATTTACCAGTTTTTTTCCTCTATAAAAATCCATATTTTATTTCATATATTCGGATATTTTATCGGATATTTTACTTTTAGGTACAGTTGTTCCACGCAAATCATTAATTTGTGTACCACCTACTTGTGGTATATTTATATAGTTCTGATTTATTTGTCTTTATTCTAATTTATTGTCTATATTCTAATTTATTAAAACCCACGATAACTAATTACTAATTTATTAAATAGCTGTACAAATGTATTTATTTCACGTTTCGTTACAAGTAAACCGCGTTTCCCGATCTTCTTATGACTGACTCCAAATAAAAAATCTTTGGTTTATATACACAACTGTTGTCATCTAGATTATTCGGCGGACTTCTTGAATAATCTCGTATTTTGGTGAAGGCGCTCGACTCGTTTTTCAACTGTTCGAAACCCCTCGAGACGTGGATTACTCATAAAATTAGGGTCTAAAAGTTTCTGTAAACAACTTCGAATTTACTGGAACAGAAAACAGAATTAGTCATAATATATTGATAGTTATAAACGCCATAATTATCGTAACATTGCCCCCCTCTTAAAAGATGGTTCCTCCTGGAACCTTGTCGGGACCGGAACTGGAACGACATGCTGATATCGGCAACTGGACCCTCTTTTATTACAACTTCCAGTTGTATAGAAATGACAAGGGACGGTTTTCTCTCCGCACCAGTAACTATGCGGATTGCAATAGACTAACACCTGGACTTCGGTGTCTTTAAAGATTTCCTCCACCATGTTTCGTATAACCCTCCAATCTAATTGGCGGCACTTCAACTTTGGCATGGCTAACTTTTGCACGTCGGACTCTAGTACGTGCTCTCTCAACTGAAGTAAGGCTTCCCATACATCTCGGTAGGTAGGTTGGTCATGGGCAGTGTCTTTTGTTACCAGGTAGAAAAGGTAACGTGATGCATCTTGAAGTTTCAAGGTTTTACCAGGAGCTGGCACTTGGCATTGAAGTTCTGCAACTCGACCAAACTTCCTTCGAAAGACGGATGCCAACCATGGTGCATCTTTGATACTGGCCGGGATGTTAAGGGCCAGTGAGTAGTCATCGGGAAGCGCAAGTAGATCTTGCCTTTCTTCAGTGGTAACACCATGTCTTGCTTTACCGGTACCTCCATAGGCACCCATGAATTCCTCAAACGTGAGGTCAGACACATCTTGGACTTGGTTTACTTCCACTTCTTCATCTACGTCGTGGTCACCCTCGAAAGACGCCAACCGGTTATGGTGTACTATTATCGGCTTTCCTCTCGGAATCTTGCTTATTCGGTAAATAACATCATTGATCTTCTCCATAATGAGGTATGGACCTTCCCAAAACTGCTGCAATTTGGGAGAACAACCTTTTCGCTTTTTGGGGTTATAAAGCCAGACTTTATCGTTCTTCTTAAAACACCCCTTTTCGGCTTGTGTATCGTACCGTTTCTTCATTCGGTCACTAGCAATTTGAAGATGGGAACGGACCAACTCGTGTACATCGTCCATTGTTCTTCGTAATTCGATCACATAATCTTCATCTGCTACATCTTCTCCAGGTCGACACCCAAACTCTAGATCACAAGGTAGTCGCATCTCGCGTCCGAATAGGACTCTGGCTGGTGTCTGGCCTGTTGATTCATTAACAGCAGTTCTGTAGGCCATTGTGAAGAACGGAAGATATTGGTCCCAGTCTCGCTGATGATCGGACACCATCTTTCTCAAATACTTGCCAACTGTTCTATTCATTCGTTCTACCATACCATCCGATTGCGGATGATAAGCCGTAGTTCTTGTTTTCTTCATACCTAGTCTATCACATATTCCTTGGAATAAATCGCTTTCGAAGTTCCTGCCTTGGTCACTATGGATCTCCAAAGGCACTCCAAATTGGCTGATATATTCTTGGATCAACTTATCTGCAACGGTGGCGGCCTTCTGGTCTGGAAGTGCGTAAATCTCTACCCACTTAGTGAAGTAATCCATTACTACCAACATGTACTTGCCTCCATTATCACTTTCTGGAAATGGCCCAGCAATGTCCAAAGCTATTCTTTCAAACGGGCTTCCAACATTATATTGTCTCATAGGAGCTCTCCTTTTTCGATAAGGCCCGTTACTCGTAGCACAAATAGTACATTTCTTACACCAGTCTTTTACATCGTCGGAACTGTTCATCAATAAAACCGTTCCCGAATTCGCTGAAGGGTCTTTTTCACACCAAAATGCCCTCCTGATGGACTGTCGTGTAACTGACGAAGTACTTCGGCTATTCTGCTCTTTGGAATCACCAACTGTCTTCTCTTCTCTGAACCGTCATCATTTTCCAGGACTCGTTTGAGCAAGCCATCTTCCATGATAAATGAGTCCCACTGGGCCCAATACGTCTTAACTATTGAGCCTAGGTTCGATATTTCTTGCCAAGGTGGTCGACGGTTTTCCTCCTTCCATTTTCGGATTTTCTGTATAACTGGATCTCTCTCTTGTTCTTCCCTGATCTTGGTAGGCGTCCAGTCGTCATGGACCACCGTCGTTCTTAGCACTGCTGCTTCCTTGGATTCCGTTTTGTTGCAGTGAGAACACTCTGCTGGGCATGGCCTTCTGAAAAGAGAGTCGGCGTTTCGGTGGCTAACTCCGGCCCGGTGCTCAATCTTAAAATCATATTCTTGGAGTCGTTCGATCCACCTGGCTATCTGACCCTCTGGATTCTTAAAGTGCATCAACCACTTAAGGGCGGCATGGTCGGTTCGGATTAAAAACTTCCTTCCATAGAGGTATTGATAGAAGTGCTCTACTGATTTCACTACTGCCAGAAGTTCTCTTCTCGTGACGCAATAATTTCGCTCAGGTTTTGAGAGAACTTTACTAAAATATCCAAGGACTCTTTCCTGTCCTCCTTGAATCTGAGACAGCACTCCTCCAATTCCAACATTACTTGCATCTGTATCTAAGATGAACTCTCCTTCTAGCAGTAGATACCCTAAAATTGGTGCTGTGATTAAATGCTTTTTTAAGGTTTCAAAGGCATTCTGGCAGTCTACATCCCAGCGGTATTCTCTTGCTTCCTCTGTAAGTCGCGTTAATGGTTTAGCGATATCTGCAAACTTCTTAATAAACCTCCGGTAGTAAGTACACAGTCCCAGAAAACTTCTCACTTGATGTTTGTCAGTTGGTTTTGGCCATTCCTTAATAGAATCGATTTTTCCCTTATCCACGGCCACTCCTTCTTTGCTGACTATATGACCCAGATAATTGACTTTACCTTGAAATAGCTGGCACTTCTTGGGGTTTAACATCAATTGGGCAGCTTTAAGTCGATTAAAAACGTTTTCTAAATTCTTCAGATGGTCTTCAAATATCTCCCCCAAGACGATTATGTCGTCTAGATAAACTAGGCATGTTTTCCAAGATAACCCTCTTAACATATTTTCCATAAGCCTCTCAAATGTCGCAGGAGCGTTACAAAGTCCAAATGGCATAACGTTGAATTGCCATAATCCAGATCCTGTGGTGAAGGCTGTCTTTTCTTTATCTACCGGGTCCATTTCTACCTGCCAGTATCCAGACTTCAAATCCAAAGTAGAAAATAATTTACTTCCAGCCTATGTGTCTAATGTGTCATCGATCCGAGGCAGAGGATAACTATCTTTCTTGGTAACGTTGTTCAGCAAACGGTAATCCACACAGAACCTCGCTGTTCCGTC